TAGATAGATAGATAGATAGATAGATAGATAGATAGATAGATAGATAGATAGATAGATAGATAGATAGATAGATAGATAGATAGATAGATAGATAGGTCGGTAGATAGATAGATAGATAGATGGAGATAGATAGATAGATAGATAGATAGAGCCCTTGCAGGTTTTTAAAAGGATGTACTCACAGGCACACAGGTGTCTGATCCAATCTGCACACAGACGTAGATCTGGCAGTGCAGATAAATCACATCCAGGTTGACGAAGGAGAAAATCTGCACAGACACTCGAGATGTGCTGGAGTTCCCGTTCATCAACACGTGGGTGTACGTGTTAAGGGAGCAGCTGTGGAGAGAAGTGTCTTTTTAGTATGACTGCATTTGATGTGGGTAGAAAGTGCCTCACTACATGATTCGAAGGTGCCTTGGAGTCACTGACAGTAATGTGCTGACTGTTGATTTATTGTTGTCACAACATGGTTTTTGAGATTTGCTTGGAAATCAATTACAAACTGCTTTTTTGTATACAGTTCTTTGAAAAAGATCCTCCCTCCATTCCTTCATGATCTTCTTTTATTTGAATTATCTAAACCAGCAGTTCCATTGGAGAGTGACCTGAGTGACCATTTTTGAAATGTGTATTTTAATTTGTATCGCTTGTATATGTGTAAAGCAATAGAAATAAAAAAAATCTACATCAATTTGGTTTCATTTGAATTTAGAGGCCACTAGCTGTAAATCAGACAATGTCTCCCCTTTTACTTTTCAAGGACAAAACGAAATCAACGATGCTTGTTTTATCTTTAAAAGAATAATTTGGTATTTTAGAAAATACACAGGTTATTATTTTGTTGGTATAGTCCATACACCGAAGTCAGAGTGTAAATAATCACAAAACATGGTACTGTGTGTAAAACCAACATGATGTTATGTGTTAATTATATGTTTAGAGGTGCTGGTAGACGGATTTCATGAACTTCAGCTGAGTCAGGTGAAACCTGCTGCCACTCTCCAGGTTGAGCTGCAGTTTTAAATATGAAGCAGCAGCTACCGTCAGCAGCTGTAGCTTTATTTTCTACAGACAGATTAGAGAGTTGTATCAATCCTCTATGACTCAGCAGAAAAAGGTAAAAAAAATGTCAAGAAGAAAAAAAGCAACACACTTAGTATTCTGTGGGGTTTTTTGAGCTTGAATACTGAGTTTCGTTTGATTCATCATGATTAGAACATGTGGGAGTCTTCATACAACATTACAGATTTTACGTAGCAGATTACAGCTCATGAAGCCGAGCACGTGTATTCAACTTTTTTTTAGCCTGTGAAACTATTTTTAGGTCTCAAAGACCACCCAGCAATTAGTGTTGTCATGGAAATCTGAGCACCAGTTCCATCGGTATTTTATGTTGAAAAGCATGAAGGGAGATCCACAGCAACTATATGGGGGGAAATGTAGAGAGACCTTGGTAGCAGTGGTTTTATTTATGTTAATATGAATTTGAAATTTCTTGCAATAATAGTCATATGTTCTGTTTTGTTATCCCTATGACACAATTAAACAAGTTAGGAATCTCAAGATAAAACATTTAAGAAATCAAGCCTTAATTGAAACATAATTTATAAATAAAAAGCATGTTTCGAACAAAATAACAATTCAAATATCAATCTGTGAAATGCCAGGACCCATCTGTAGGGTGTGACTCCTAGGTTCAGGTATTCTGAAGTGTGTAGTATTGGTTGTAATGTAGCAGTAGTAACATTCCTAGTATTTGTAAAATAATTAGTAGTTATTAAAGGCAAGGTAGTTTTATTTATCACACACATTTCATACGTAGTTTGAAGGCAATGTACAGGGACGTTTAAAACACAGAGACAAAATTAAAAGAAATCAATTAAAAATATAAATACAAACTATTCAGGCAAAAGATTACAAAGTGAAGAATAAAAGAGGTAGAGAAGAAATAAAAATTAAATTGTCTTAAAATGTTAAAGTTTGAGTTAACTTAAAGTATTGGAATAATACAAGATAAGATAATTAAATTAATTAAAATTGTGGTATGCATTGGGCAATATTTGACCCTGGGTATCACTAGCTGACCATTCCCCAGGGATCTCAAGGGGTCTGGAGTGGTTATATTATCCTATCATTTTCAGTGTGAAGAATGTAGTGACATCTAGTGGTGAAGATGCATGTTGCAGCTGAATACCCCTCACCTCACCCTTCTCTTCCCAACATGAAAAATAACCTGTGGTAGCTTCAGTTGTCATGAAAACTCAAAAGGGGTTTAGTTTGTCCAGTCTGGGCTAATGCAAAAAACATGGAGGCCTCCATAGAGAGGACCCGCTCCCGATGTAAATATAAAGTATTTAAATATAAAGGGACAATTCTAAGGTAAAGAAAACAACAATAAATTAAACACACTAGGATTATTTTATAATCTTTGCCAATGGATCCCTTTCATCTAAATCTTACACACTGGACTTTTAAGTATTTAGGGTCAGCTCCATTTATATTTTTAATTAATTAATAGAAACTGTATATCTAAGTGAAACAGCAGCCTTATAAAAATAGGGACAGGGACATTGTGCTGGAGGTGGAAACAGACCTGTTTTCAATGAAGATGTAGCTGGGGGTATCTGCAGGATTCGGGGTGGGAGTAGCCCAGCATTTGTTGATGACTACTTTAATCTGCTCTGAGGAGGTGTTCAGGCTGACCTCCACCACCACCACGTCCTCAGGGGACAAGCTGTAGTTGTGGGGCAGAGGCACTGTCCCATTCATCAGCCGCACCATCACATGGAACGACCCCAGGCCCAGGAGGGTATCTTTAATAATGTCATACCTGTGGATGGGTGACAACAAAACATGTTTAGCTATAGATTCAGCTGGCCACACAATCCTTAATTGAACTCTTAGCTTTTTGAACAGATTTTCAAACACAGTGTCCTTTGTTCTAAGACTTTTTAGAAACATGTTTCTAGGCAACATTATGACACAGATACAGTACAAACATTAATCACATGAACGTGGTTAAGTGCAGTTTCTCAATTTCTCATTCTTGATACTGCAGGTGTGAACTGATCCCTCTGAGCAGTTCAGTCACTTCATCTCTCTCAACCCTGAGTATGCTGCTTGCATATTTTGACTGGCAACTTTACTTCTAAATAAAATTTTATTTTTACTATACTGTTATCTCTTCTCCTGTGCTCTGCCAATATAGTCCATCATTCCTTTAAAAACACAACGGACAGACAGCATGTTAAGCATACCCCATAGAGCCAAAGTCAGCAGAGATAAGCATGCTCTTCTTGTAGGGACACAAGATTGGAACCTCCAGCCGAACTCTGGGTACCTCCACTGCTCCACTGGGTGAGGTGTATGGATCCATTGTGTTGAACAGGGTCACAGATACTGTGTAGTAGGTTTCATTCTAAAAATAACAAATGTTGGAGGCAGTTTGGGTTGAAAGCACTTCAATTGTAGAGACAAAGAAAGAGCAAGAGCAAATGCATAAAAATAGAAAACCCACATGTGTAAGTATAGTGGCGCACTCATTCCAGGCCACGGTCAGCTGGGCATGGGTGGCATTGCCTCCGTTGACGCCACATTCCAGCGAGCCCAAGTACAGGGCGCCTTCACTGATTTTGGTGTTCTGAAGAAATTCTCTGGCAATTGTTACAGTGATGGCAGTAAACCTGCACTGCACTGACATGGCCCCTTGCACAGAATCAGTGCCTTGGGCAACACCACTGATTGTAGCAGCTACAACAGTTGGGTTGGTGACAGTAGCTGAAGGAGTAGAAGTTATGGATGTCATTGCAGTATTGGTGTTTGTTGGGGCCCTAATCATGTTTGTTTGGGCTGTAGTCATGGTTGTTGGGGTAATATTTGTGGTTGTTTGGGTTGTAGCCATGGTTGTTGGGGTCATAGCTATGGTTGGGGTTGTAGTCATGGTTGTCTGAGCAGTAGTGGTTGTTGTTGTAAATGCAGCCATGGCTGTTTGTGCAGTAGTGGTGATTGTTGGGGTGGTACTTGTGGATGTTGTGGCAGTAGTCATGGTTGTTGTGGCATTAGTGATGGTTGTTGGGGCTGTAGTCATTGTTGTTGCAGCAGCAGCTGTAGCCATAGCTGTTCGAGCAGTAGTGGTGGTTGTTGGGGCAGTAGTCATGGTTGTTGGGGCAGAAGTCATAGTTGTTGGGGCAGTAATAGTGGTTGTTGGGGCACTATCCGTAGTTGTTGCAGCTGTAGCCATAGCTGTTGGAGCAGTAGTGGTGGTTGGTGGGGCTGTAGTCATGGTTGTTGGAGCTATTGCCATGGCAGTGGGTGTTGTTGGGGGGTTAGTGGTGGATGTCATTCCAGGAGTAATGGTAGCTAGAGCGGCGGTTGTAATTGGGACTCCTATAGTTGTGACAGTTGTGACTGTAGAAGTGGCTGAAACCACTGTGGTGGGTGTAGCTGTAGTAGAAACCATTTCACTTGTTGATATAATAACAGTGGTTATGCTTGGAGTGGTTGTTACTGTGGTTAAAGCTGGATCACTGGTTGAGGGTGTCATTAGAGACAGAGGGGTTGTGCCAGCTGTAGAGAATATTGCAGGTATTGGTGATGGTGTGATTGTCTCCGAGGAAGCATTTACTGCAAAAGACAAGATACTGCGTTACAAAACACAAAGATATTCTCTTTACTAGATCTGTATGAAATCAATCCATACCTCGACAGGCTCGCCCAGGCCTTTCTGGGTTGTTGTCTATAAATGCTTCCAGGCAATCACATGTGTAAGAGCCCACGGTGTTTGTACATGAAGCCCATTGGGAGCAGTCGTTTTCCCCTGATTCACATTCATTAGAATCTACAAAAGAAAAAAAATTGATGTTGTTTTTTAGTATTATATTGTATTTGAGAACCACACATGACAAAGCCTCTACATCAGTGTCGCAGTCAAGTTACTAAATCTTGAATCTGAGTTCCTGGTGTTCAAATCCAAGTTCAGGTCACTGAAATGGATTCTGAGTTACGTTTGAGTTGTCACCATTACCTTAGTCCAAGTCTAAATTATTAAGGTTGAACCCGATGTAAAAACTGTGAAAGCAAATGACATGATCTGGGGCATTTTAGCATTAGCTGTAATTGATGGCATATGAATCCTCATTGGTAAGCAAACACAAGCTGCCCTGGCACACAATGGAATAATGTCAGTAGGCCTATTAATATACAATAAATATCAGAATCATAGTCATTACTACAACTGCTCTTCTCTATATTTCAGCAAATGTCTTGATAGCTTCTTATCACAGAGAAGGATCCTGCTTTATGGCACAAAACTGAAAGAAATTCCTGTTTTTCAACCAAAATAAACATTCAAAACTCTTCCTGAAAATATATTAACAAAAACAAAACAGTTGTCGTCTTTGTTTGACAACTTCAAGTCCTTACCAGGATAACCAGGATGACATCATTAGGAGTTTTCCATAATCACTGCTGAGTTACTCTTCTAAACATGATGTGTCAAATCAAACTCAGGCTACAGTTGAAAAGTCAAAAGAGAGTCTTTTCTTTAATCCTTTTTCTTTAGATTGATGGGAAATGTCATGAGGTCTACAAAAGTTGTGAAAGACAATACCTAAGGACAAATTATGATGCTGAGAAAATCAATTTGCAAAAGGCTGCATAATCATTTTACTGATATCTCCTTTCATAAAGAATGTTCCAGTGTATCCTATGACCAGTGACCGTAGTCTATTAATTTAATTGTGCTTTAATCTAGTTGCATTAAGATCATTCTCAACAGTCAAATTTTTAGAACAGCGAGTAAAACGACGTACCAGTTATGCTCGTGCTGTTTCTATCCACAGCGTATTTGGAGCTGTTCATCAGGGAGTTTAGCAGAGCCACTGACACATTACTGATGTCGTGGCTTTGGCTTGGAATGAGGATGAGGGTGAAGTTGACCACCACACTGCCCGCTGAAAAGCTCCTGATCTCAATCCTCACCTGGCCAGAATCCACCAAGGCCTTCATTTCTGGAGACAGAGACTGGTAGATCTGTTTATGGTGGAGATAAGCACATCAGTCTAAGTTGGTGAAACAATAAAGCTTGCCTTGTTAAAAATGTTTATGTGTAAAGCGTGTGAAATTATTTTCAAAGCTCATACTCCGTCAGTAGATGAGCCTTGTAACGCACCTACCTCCTCTATGATACTGGCATTGAGGTTTTTATAGGCCTGGCTGCTGGAGTTGTGCAGGTCAGCGGTGAAGTTGATGTTGGTGAGTCGAGTTGTGGCGTCAAGAGTCTGAGCATCTACAAAGAAAAGCCTTACTTTGTTCAGTTAAATGTCAGCTGTCTCACCAGCCTTGGGCCTGTTGGCTAAATACGGTTTCCTTCATCACACTTTAGTCATTAAGGGAAATTTATCACTTTACATATCCATTCCCTTAGGGTAAGAATCTGTGGTTGCATCCTTTCATTGAAAAACAAATTAGAAAGTCAGTTTCTTCTCCTGTGGCTGAGGGAAATTGTCCTTAAAAAAAACAACTATTTAATATTTAAATAAAAATTAATATTCACGCTATAGCAGTAACTTAATAGCTGTTATTTTTATTATAGTTGTGGCTGAGGCGGTCAAGCGGATCATCCAGTAACTTGAAAGTTAATGATTCAATCCCCAGCTCCTCCATTCTGCTTGCTCAGTGTCCCTCAGCTACTCTGTCAGAGTGCTAATGTAGATGTGTGATAGTAAAGTACAGCATACAGTAGCGCTCGGATGAATGTGCGTGTGAATGGGTGAATATGATTTGCTGTGTGAAGCACTTTCAGATTGACATTTACCATTACAAATATTCTAAGATATATTTTAACAATAATTTGCTGTAATTTGTGAATTCATGGCACAACTGTATATATGCTTACCTATATGCTTAAGAAAGGACAGTCATTATGTCTGCTAGTCAAAGCCACCGGAACAATTCATTCTTACCCGTCTTGACCAATACATGTGTGGTGACCCCTTCACTTCCACAGGCACTAGGAGTGACAGTGACGTTGTAGAGCACCCCAGGCTGCAGTTCCCTCACATCCACCATGGTCTGATGGGTTTCCAAACTGTGAATGACCTCTGACCCCTTCCTCAGAACAACCCGGTATGTCTGGTTTGTCCGAAACTGGCTGGACCAGTACACACAGAGGGAGGTTCCAGTAACGTTAAACAACGTTAAGGTGGTGATGCTGGGAGGAGCTGGAAGGTGGTGGTAAGGAGGGGAGAGATAGGGGCAGAGAACAGGTCTATTGATTTATTCAACAGACTTAAACAGGGACATTTATTGAGAGATATGCTGGTGTACTTTCTTGCAGATTTCAGTTAAAAATCGAATATACTATTTACATGCCTGTATGCAGTGGCGGATCTTAGGTTTTAGTAATTCAGGGGCCACAATTTACACAGAGGGCCCAATGATATGTCCAACAACTCCTGATACAGTATGGTGCACATTTAAGACATTCCCTGTCAACTGTAAGCTCCATAGTGTTCAGCAAAGCACACATCATTCAATACATTTGAATTATTTTCCTCGTTCAAGCACTTTAAAAAAAAGCTGACAGGACAGGGGCACTTCAGAGGCCAAAAAGATTTCAGCTGGGGCCAGTGTCCCTCTAGCTGACCCCACTCCTGGATCCACCCCAGACTTTATAATAAATAAAGGGCACATACTTACATCAACAAGACAAATATTGATTGAAAGAAAGAATGAGAGACATCAGGAGTAGTTTTGCATTTGGACCTACGCTGGCTCATTAATTATGAAATTAGAGATTGACACAGCCGTGACAAAGACAAATAAATATTTCTTACAGCATGTGGTTGTCGACAGAGGTAACTCCTCAGATGAGCTCATGCTGGTAAAAGGTGCAGAGCTCGTCCACTGCAGAGCATGTGATGAAGTAAAAGGGACAGAGCTTGTATTATTCAGAGCTGTAGTCATGCTGATCTCAGAGGAGTTGAAGGTAACAGCGGTGCTGCTGCCCGGAGGCCCCTGTGTGGTGTTGGGGGCTGGAGTGTAGGTTGTGGTCATGGGTGGAAGGTGGGTCAGCGGGGTCTCTGTGCTGCTCCACACACCGTCACCAGCTGTAAGAACAAAGCACAGAGAACAATGATAAGAAATGTTTCTTCAATCCATACATCATAGTCTTTTTAAAGTTAAAATAAATCCATCCAACTGTGCCACTTATCCTTTTGAGGGTCACAAGGGGCTGGAGACAAACTGAGCTGAGATTGAGCAGGATACAGGATTCTCCCTGGACAGGTCACCAGCCCGTCACAACACAAACAAAGGTAGGCTGTGTCCAAAATCACTCACTAATCCAAAAAATAGTGAGCCATTGTGTCGTGCTGTCCGAATGTTGAGGAACATTTTTATATCCCATATAGTGGACTCATTGTTTCCTATAGTGAGTCTTGAAGAGTATTGTACAACCAATGGTCACTCATAGAGCAACATATATCATCATGCACTGTGCTCACGGCGTTGACAGAACAAAAATGGAGACCAACCTGTAGAGGTTGGTCTCTATGTGCCTTTTACCTAAAGCATTATTACTAAATGAGCTCACTATATGGTCCACATAGTCCTGCAGAGAAGTCACTATATAGTGAGTAGGGGGTAGTGAATGAGTCAGACACAACCAGAGGCAAACAACCATTCTCCAATCAATTGTCTGGAGAACATGCAAACTCCTCAAAGAAAGGCAAAAGAACTAATCACTGCACCCACCCATGTTCCGCCAATAAAAGATGAATGATAAATATATACATCAATCAATCAAATTATATATATTGTCAACACACGTGTGTACAAAGGCCACTGGACTTGTATTTCTGGACTTACTTGTTTCACGTCCAGGGGTCGACAGGTCGCAAGGGTATTGCAGGGTTAACATACGCAGACAAAAACTTTCACACAGAGCCACTCAAACTTTAAGCTTAACAAATACTATTTCTCTAACCCAAAGACTTAAAACTAAACCTAAACGTAAGTTTAAAACATGTTTTTACCTTAAAATGTAAGGAATTACTTGCTTCTCTTCTTTCCCCTTTCCCACATCATGAGTAACACACACACACGTACACACACACAGTTTCACCTGTACAATGGGCTCCTGGGTTGCTAGGCTCAACATCAACGTATCCTTGGTGACAGGTACACTGGTAGGATCCCACTGTGTTGTTACACTGTGCCTGAGGGGAGCACTGATGAAGAGCAGACTGCACGCACTCGTCTACGTCTGCAAATACAGACACGTGAAAAGGTTGGACTGGAATTACAGTTACATACACACAGTTCAAATCTCAGGCATTTGGACAGTCACATATTTTTGTTCTTCCTCACTCTAAATAAAGTGCTACGTCTTGACAGTATGACAACAATGAGAAGAACTCCCACACAGTCTCTCGTGCTGCTGAAACGTTTACTGGTAACAGCGTTTCCATCAATCTGACCTTGATCGAGGTAACTGGTGAATATTTCAGCAGTAAACGAGACAGTTTGTTGGAGTTCTTCTCATTGTTCTCCAGTTGCAAGTCCCTCAGACGCGCCTGTTATTCAGCTGTGCACAGATTTTTCCCAAAATAAAATGTCACAAATATGTTAAGAACTGTGTTTGATCTGTAACTTCAATGTTTAGGGGCTGACAGAAATACATGATCTGTGGAAAATCCCTTGCAGTCAGTCACTGCCTTAAGTCTTCAACCCACACACATCAGCGGACACTTTGTATAGCCCATATTCACACAGAATGATGAACAGAATGATGTGCTTCTGCGGTGATCCAGGTTCATTAGTCATATCTGACAAACTGTTTTTATTTCACTGCACTGAAAGACAAAGGACAGTTCAAATCTGGATGAATGTGGAACCATATTTAAAGGTTGAACAATATATTTGATCTCTCATCAGCTAACATTGGACACCAGCTAATGTGAATATAAAGCTCTTGTTGATTTGTCTGTATGTTTATTATCATTTTGCTTCATGTCATGAACTGTACCATTTTCCTCCACAGTTTTCTCCTTCAGTCTTTTTGATTAAGATTGATTTTTGTTTCAGCCGTAAGACATTGTACCAACTTGTTTTTGTGTTCCTTTTGAACACATGAACTGTTCTCTTGATCATTGACAAACACACGTGTCTGCCCACATCTATTTTTACACATCCCGGTCTTCAGTATTACCCAACTCTTGCAAGATCACAACCTATGATATTATCTGTCTGTTGGATTTTTACTTTTAGGCCTCATGATTATTTTCCTTATCTTCTAATCTAAACGTATCTTTTTTTAATAGATTATTTGTACTGGGACAATATACAATTCAGAGCAATGGCACCAGAGAAAGTGAGCAGCTAATTTGCTACCTGTCGTTCCTGGGCAGGTAAAACAAACGATAATAATATTTATAATAATAGCAACAAAAGTACTATATGGCACCACAGTATACTGTATAAAGCTCCAGTGAATAAAAGGCTATTGTCTACAGCTGCACAATAAACATTTAGTGTCCAAGTGTCCAATTACCTTTTTGCAATTTTGCGACTGTGTGTTAAAAATCAAACCTACAACTTGGAACTTTATGCTGATGAGTTAAGGAGTAATAAATAGAAGATATAATGTCAAAACCGAATATAAACTATACTATTATGGTGATAAACAACAAGCCAGAAACATAATTGAGAGAAAAACATTTATATTGAGATGATAAGTGCTCAAATTAGATTTTAGAAAAGTGATTGTAAGGCATTCAGGTGGGAGTGCTTAAAATAGGAGAAATTGATTCACTTGTCTGAGGTGATCGACAATAATGATACATTATCATTTTGGCATAGGATGCATTTGTTTTTGTGTAGAGGGGAAATCACCTGTGAAGGAACATTTTGAAGGCAGTTTGATGTTTGTGTCTGTGTGATGGAGAGCTTGTGACTGCGGTCTTTGTGCAAATATGTACAGTGTGACTGATTCAGATTCATGATTAATATCGTGTGTGTGTGTAGGTGTGTGTGTGAATGTGTGTGTGTGTGTGTGTGNGTGTGTGTGTGTGTGTGTGTGTGTGTGTGTGTGTGTGTGTTGCACTCGCTCTGGTGTTATTTTCCGCTATTGCAGGAAACATCCCACAGATGACTGCCACTCAAATAGAAGTGGTGGGAGAAGGAAACTGTGGTGCGACTGAGTCATTTTTTCCTGAACACTGTGTTCTCTGCAAAATGAATCATTCTCAACACTACAAGAATGTCATTTCTCTGAAGGACAAAAAAAAAAATCCCTGTGCAGCTTGATGAAGACAAACACAGTTGAGCCTCCCCACCTTCCACAGTTACAGATGACACCTCTTGTATGTGTTTGAGGAGCAGATGCAGCTTTGATGTGACATTGTGCGGGGACAGAGTGGAGCTGCAGACGATCAGCAGTGACGTTGCAGTCCTGTATGGATGCACAGGCCACGAGCTGAGGTAATGGACTGAAACCTCATCAGACTGCAAAGCTCCAGTCACCTTAGTGATAGTGAAACAGAAAAAACGAAAGAAGAAAAGTAAGGCTAACCTCTGATGAAACCTTGGTTTATCTTCTATGTGCAACCTCCCAACAAGCTGCATTATTAGATCAGGTATTGTGACATTCATAGTGGCATAACCAGCCAGATGTCTTCATAGCATAGTCTTATCACGGATATCATACATACAAAGTTTGTTTTGAAATATTTGAGGTAGTATTACCATTGCATGTAGTAATCGTGTGTGATTCAGAAGTCCTTTATCCTTGGACAACAGTTGCTGGTGATCTGTCTTCACCGTCACGGTCACATTCCATTGATATTCTCCATTCACAGAATAATTAGCTGAACCTGAAAGTTACATTAAAAGTCTCATATCATCCAAATCACAAAGAATAAGCAATATTTTCTCACTGCAACCTGTGGTATCTGGGGCTGGATGAATATTGTATGGAAGGCAGGGGAAACTTATAATTCACTCAAGGTCAAAAGTAAAGCCTTTCCCATGTTTGATAGAAATGTTGCCACTACTTGTTTGATTATAAAAATGTAGCTTGCATGAAAAACTTAAAGGTTCAGTGTGTAGAATTTTGTGATATCTAGTGTTGAAATTGCATGTTGAACACCCCTCACCTCACTCTCTCCTTCCAAACATGAAAAAGAACCTGTGGTAGCTTCAGTTGTCATGAAAACTCAATAGATGTTTAGTTTGTTCAGTCTGGACTAATGTAAAAAACATGGCGGCCTCCGAAGAGAGGACCCCCTCCATGTAAATATAAAGTATTTAAATGAAAAGGGCGATTTCTGGGGTATGAAACGAACTAGTGAAAACATCATGAGGATTCTTACACACTGGACTTTTAAGATGGAGTATTTTTCTATGTAAAATGATCAAAGTCACAATTCTATCAAACTGAATTTGAAATAAAACCAGATATAGAAAAATGCATCCCAAACACTCCAGCAAATAAACTCGTCTGACAAAGTACCTAACGACAGTCACTGCTGCAAATAAACAAAAACATTTTTGCCCACAAATAAAATGCCCTCATAATTTCCATATGCAAAAGCAAATGTGCAGTGATGTTTGTGATTTATTTGTGTTGGTTTTTGAGACAAAATTATGGAAATTCACATTCAGTAAAATCAGCAAACCTCTGATGTACTGTCTGACACTGTCTGCCTGGTTAAAACCACTGAGGTTTGGGTAAAATTTAACCCTTTAACACATGAATTTAGCAAAGAAAACATACAAGGCGGTTTATAATAATGAATAACAATCAGGAATGTGCACTAACTTGTAGGATGACTGCAGAGAGAACATCCCAGTCTCTTGCAGCATTTCTGCCAGCCTGGGCAGTCCATGTCCCACTCACAGTCCCCTGATCCGGGATAAAGTCCATCTGCAGTTGGACAGGAGCCTGGCTTGGCGATGAGCTCTCCACTCCTGTTTACAGCTTCATTCAAAGGAAATAACAGGTTGCACACCATATATTAGCAGAGATACTTGCTGCAGTATAGTTTCTGCGCTTCCATCTGGTGTCTAACACACAAGAACACACACACAAAGGTCAAGCTGATTGCTTGTCTGACAGCCCAAGATCTAATGATGTTATATCATCAAATATTACAAGCACAAACGCGACTGAAATCTGTGAGCAAACAGAACAATTTGTGCTCTTCTCTCATCCTCACTCGCAGACATGGATGATGATGTCCAGTATACTCACGCAGGGCGCAGTAACGACCGACTTGTACGTAGCCATCGCAGCACTTGGTGACCTGCTGCGTCACTGTCTTGTTCTCTGTCTGAGGAACCATCTTGTAGAGCGTCACTTTACATGTCTTCCAGAGGAGCCAGCCGCCACAGGGCTTTGTCACAGTATATGGAACCTTGTGCATCACCAGGTAACTCACAATCCTTGTTTCATTGTGAATACAAAGATGGTAGCCAGATGGAGACAGACTATTTCCTGGAATAAAGTATATTTTGTCAATTTAACTTCCTGAGTAGTTAGTATCTGGCTACCTAATGACATCTTGTAACCTCTTATGTCACCAACACTCCACCTTGATTTTAACTCCTTAATAAAGTATTACATCACACATCTATATGTTAAAAATGCATTGTATAGGTAAAGCAAAAAGTATAGTTACTCTTACACATTATATTTTTCATGACGATGCATCAGTAACATGTTAATCTGTCATCTGTATAGAGGCCTACCTTCATACTCAATGTTTTGTCCCCTAAAGAGAGCCATCAGAGCCGCAGCCAACCAGATGGAGAGCGTCCAACTCATTTTCACAGATCAGAATCTCAAACCTATATTTAACGACCACATTGTACGTGCATGTTTCTCTATGAGATGATGCTAACTAACTGTTCAGGGTGTATTCAAAGACCGAATCCTCTGTGGCTCTGTATTCCTCCTCCCCTCGCTGCACCATCAGTCCCTGACGGACAACAAAATCATGGCAGCCAGTGGGTAAGTATTAGATGAGTATGAATAACTGGAGTTACTTTATCTATTTGTATTGAAATTGCATTCATTTTGCATTTTACAAGCCCTTAAACAATTTCACATCCACATTGCCATAATTTCAATGACAAGTGAGTGTGTATATCACAGGATGAAAAAGCCTTTGGTTCACATGATTTTTACAAATTAAAATGCCTTTTTTCTCTTTTGTAGTAGGAATTAGTTGTCATTTTACATATTTTTGGCAGTATTTGGGTCAGTAAACATGTTTATGATGCTAGGGAGACAGAGATGAGGGATGGGAGGAGTCAAAGTCCCTAATGACTTGGTTTCCACACAGGTAACCATGGCAGTGCTCGCTATGCTGCTGGCACTAACAGCCTGTGTCAGCCATTAATGTCAAGTAAGGAGGAGTGAGAACTTCCCTGCCATTTTCCCACATGTCTTCATTCTCATGATATCAAGGAGCAGCAGGAGGCTTAGTCTGTCAGAGATGTGTTCTAAAAAAAGATCAAGATTCTGTCGTCACATCATCATCAATGTATGTTATCCTATGTGTGTGTTTGATTAAATAAAACAGTTCCTCTACATTCTGTAATCTATTTCATGCATATTTGTATCCAACAGCAGTGATTAGTATAATCACTGATTAATTCAATAGCAATGAGGTGTGAAAATGTGTCTAATTATACTTGGGTGTGCCATGGTGACTGGGCACAAGCTGGTGCAGTGGAACATGTCGATGTAGGAAGGTACAGGGCTACAGGCAGAAGTCATCTAAGGTCAGAACACATGAAATGGTTTCACACAAAAACATAGAATGAAATGTTCTATGAAAATCAAGATTATGAGGGGCGGTGCATTCAATGAAAGTGCTGCAGCTGACTGGGTCACAAGACTGTTGCCAGGTACTGATAACAACACTGGCTGCAGGACGAGACCTGTAGGCCAAATAAACATGGCAACGAATCCCCACTGGATGCCAATAATGACACATATCCACCGCCATGCTAGAATGACTTCCATTCAGTCACACACCTAATAAGTTTCATTCATTATTTATATATATATATACATGTATATCTACATATAGCCAGATAGAGAGATTTCTATGATAATGAATAAAGCAGCATTGGATGGATGGATGGATGGATGTGTGTGTGTGTATAAGATACTTATGAGGCAAATGTATTTGTATAGAATAATATCATACACAATAATCAATCATTTAAAAAAAAGGATACAAATCGTTAAAAACAAGCACATAACTAAAATAGAAAGTACAATGATAAGTATTCATTAAACTGTCACATGTGATTTAACAAATACATAGTTATAAACTTCCTATTACTTTGATGTGTTGCAGAAATGAGGACAACGTTATACAACTTTTCACAATTTAATCAGTTTCCATTTCCCAGCACAAACAGGTTGGTGAAAAACAGATGAGTGACAGTTTAGATCAAAAACATGACCTATCCCTTTAAATGAGCCTCGGCGTCGACTTCTCCCTTAGTCCCGCCTCCTGCTCCCCCCGAGCAGCCTATCACAGCGCGGCGCACGTGACGAGCGTTCTTTGCGATGACCTCATCCCTGGTGTGGGATGACGTCAAATTCAAGATGGATGGAATCACGACCAGTGCGCAGAAAGCGACACAACAGTGAAGAAAGTGGCGGCGGTGCGGAGGAGAGAGCGTGTCCACGACGTGCAGGGTAAGTGCGGACACACTGGGAAACTTGCGGGGAGCGCAGCGGGGAGCGCAGCTGACGGAGCGCTGATAAGAACCAGCTTCTTTCCTTTTCCTCCCTGACGTAACTGGAGGGGGGGTAGCGCTGCTTGGTAAACCTGAGCACACGCAACCTGTTAGTCAGCGACGGAGCCGCGGCAGGGACGCAACACACGGAACAAACCCAAACAACCTGGAGAGAAACCTCCACTTCCAGCAGGGGCTTAGCGGCTAATTCACTCCCCCCCCACCCCTCCCTCCCCACCCCGCAACAGCTCCTCTGTGCGGCCGCAGTCGGTCGGCACCGCGCCGTGTTTTCATTCCTGGATCACCGCGGAGCTCACCGAGGAACCGCGCTCAACTTTTCCCCGTTCTCGATCAACACTGTGCGTCGTAACGTGAAGGCAGAGAGGCGGCTCTCAATACCCCGGGCTTGTTCTCCGACCTGACCGCACACATCTCGGCTGGAGAAGTTATTCTGTCCTGAGAAATGGAGCCACGTCTCATGGATGATCTAATGCTGAAAGCCTGACTCGACTTCCTCATATCTGACGCGGCTCAACATCACTGGTGCTCTGCGACTCGAGCTGACACGAAGAGGCCACAGGCTGCGTGTTGGGTTCTGCTCAATGAATGAACCTATCCGAGCCACGGTGGCTCCACTCAACGTGTCTTCCGGTCACAGTTTTCAAAATAAACGTGCTTTATGTGTGAAACAACAGAAAAGAGAAGTACATTTCAACTCCACAGATGCCTCTCATTTGTAATATCTGTTTGTGACTATGTTACAGACGCAGCAGTGTTGTGACTTGTGTTGTGTACAAACCGATGCAACAGTTTGAATAAATTGTTGTCATTGTTTAATGCAAACGTGTTCTATTACCAGTATATTAAGTATATTTATTTACCTGAATCTAATGCCATTTCTCTTATCACCTTACCTATCAACTTAGTGATGTTCTCATCGCACCACAAACTCCTCTCCAGATTATCATGATGTTCCTCAAGGAGAAGAGTTATTGCACGACTTTTGCATTAGACTGACTTTTAGTCAGGTGTACCTCTTTAACTGGTAACATGGTGCATGTTGCTGTAATATCCGTAATATTGAAGCAATGAAAAGAATGAATGATAATGACCGTGTTGGTGTCATCATCAAATTGTGCCTGTTATAAATATTCTCAAAGGAAAGTGTGCAAATGTAAAATATAAGCAATTGTATGATACAAATATGAAACAAGCAAAAGAAGTACTAGATAATCTTGTTCAATAAAATATAAGTTAACACAAGTCTAGGTAATCAGGGTGCTGTAGGAATATAGAGGAAAGTGACTTATATTATTTATATATTCATATATTAAATAGTATATATTATAATTATATTATGGAGTCTTTATGATCTGTTTCAAGTATATATTAGTATGTACTATATTCTAAAAATAATAAGCCAAATGTCAACAGGATGTGATAGTTCTGGGGGCGACTGCACAATCTTCATTGGTGAAAAGCCTTTACATTAAATGTAAACTTACTGCATTAGTTATTGAAGCTGATTTGACAGCGCTCAAGTTTCATGCTTTCTGACTACCAACCTTATGTAAGGCCCATAAACATACTCAGTGTATGTACTTGTGAGTCATTGTGCACAATGTGGTGGTAATTAAACAGGTTCATCTGACTTCTAGTGATGATCATAAACAACATCCAGTACAAACAATAACATATAATTTAATCTGTTTCATTATGACAGTCTTTACAATGTCAATGAATCAGATAATGATTGACGATCATCATGTGTTAACAGTAAGGCTTGGGCTTGCAGTTATTTTCATTATTAATGCATACAACATGCACACACTGTTTATACCCCAATTTTTTAATATATTGTAATAATGTCATTTCATAATGATGTCATTATGAATTATTACACTATACGACATCCCTCTCTGACTTCAAAATATGATGTCATCATGCATTGTTACACTTTTTGAAGTCATTTACTGATTTCATTGTGATGTCATGATTATGTCATTATCCTACTATATGATAAGGGATTTTTTGTTCTATATAAGCTTTGGGTCCTTTCTATCATCTCATCGTATGTAGAGATACCTGGAAAATGTATCTTTTAATACATGATGCAATTTTGAGATTTGTTTGTGAATTCTTCATGATGTCACTTATCATACTACCTGATATGATAGCTTATCATTATTCTGGGAAAGATAAGCATCAGATTGTTTATCTATTAATTGTGAAGATCATGGAAAGAGTGTTTTTCCCCCAATATTTTTATTGACGTTTGACCGATCAGCTCCACAAGTTAATCATCTCGAGATGCTTGTCTCTGTGAAAACTGACCACAAATCAGTTAAGTGCAAATTTAATGATAATCTTTGAATTTCCATTCCTGTATTAAACTATAATACTTTTTTCCTTTTCTTTCAGCCATGGAGAGCCTAGTGCATTACAGTAACCCCTCCCATGCCCTCTCAGTGTTTGGGGTTCTCAATGAGCAGCGACTGCGGGGCCAGATGTGCGACGTAGTCCTGGTCGTGGCAGACCAGAGGTACCAGGCCCATAAGTGTGTTCTGGCTGCTAGCAGTGAGTATTTCCAGTCCCTGTTCACACGGATGGATGCAGAGTCACTGAAAGTTGTAAACCTGGACTTCTGTGAGCCCGATGCCTTCGAGATGGTTCTGAATTACATTTACTCCTCCTCACTCTTTGTGGACAAAGGCAGCCTGGCAGCCATTCAAGAGCTGGGCTACAG